TCTTATAGATGCTATCTATCTATCATCTATTAGTGAATGTATCCATCTATCTATCTATCTAGTTTGAAATGTAAAAAGGAAATTACAAGTTTAGAGCTGTTTGAAAGTTTTTATTTAGAATTCTAGATCTATGAATATTTATGTCCGAATTTGTGTTCGAACTCAGGGATGGATATTCTAAACAAATTATTTCTTAAAACTCCCCCCCCCCCCTGGTTAAAGATACTTGCCATATTTGTCCAGTATTGTTAGTCCAACAAATGTCCAAGTTAATTTTAAAAATTTTGCTAGAACAGAACAGGCTTTGTCTACAGGGGTGTAAACATAAACAAGAGATAGCCACAAATAGATAGAAAGATAAGTAGTTAGAAGGATAGATAGATGAATAGATAGATAGCTGATTATATTTTCACTGAATAATTAAAGTTGCACAGTTTAAGTTAATAAGATAGTGTATATACATGAATATAGAGATTGTTCAAACTACCAAACTTAGGAAATTAAACCGATTATCCCCTATTGGATTTTACTCGGCTGAACGGCCAACAATAGTAACCCAAAAGAAACCCTAGCAGCAGGGGGGTTCGAGACCTTCCTAGGGGGTCCTTTTTGGGGACCAAAACCTAAAAATAATTCTAGTTAGATAAGGTCTGAACTAATGAAACAATATTCAAAACAAAGCCTGGTCTTCAGGCTGAATTGTGCTCCCAAAAATCTCATCAGCAAATTACAGTGCCAGGTCCCTTAAAATCATCCTTTTTCTTTTCAATTCCTTAAATGGATAGTTTCTGAAAACACACGCTTTGGTTAATGAAAATTGCCTTTTTAACTCTTTACAATTAGTACTATTCAAGTTCTAATTGCCCCCCCCCCCCCCCCACAGTAGACCTCGAACGTGCTCAGTTCAAGGCACTTTGAATTTTCCATTTTTCGGCACTTGGTTCTAATACTCTCGGCACTTGACCCCACCCCCAAGCCTCCCAGGTCCAGTGCTGTTGAATTGTGTGTACAAATGCCGGCTGCTAGTTTTTGCTTCATTGCTCCCCAGCTATGCTCACATTCAAGTAAATTTGCAGATGAGCAATCCAGGGGGAGGGGGCAAATATTAAAATCTTAGGGTTTAGTCGAATACAATAGGAGCCTATAGTTAAACCCTAGAATAAAAAGTTCCTCGGTTCTTCCAAGAAAAAATTAATATTTTTTACATAGCCCCAGTTGGTAGATAAAGGAATTTATACATATCTTCAAATATTTTCAATATAATCCCTTTAAGGCACTTAAGCCTGGGATTTTAGCAAATTTTACACAAAATTTTGTCCAAAATATTAAACATAACGAAACTAAGAGCAGCTCCCCCCCCCTCCCTCCGTTTCAAACCTAACCAAAGAAATCTTATGTCATTTTCAATTAAATAAATTGCCAAGATTGAATTTAAATTGGTTATGCATCAGTCTAATCTGATCCTAGCTAAAGAAGGAAAGGGTTCAAGGAATAGGGGCGTAAAAAGGGTGGGAGGGGGGGGGGGCAGGGGAGAAAAAGGAAAATTTATTATATCTTAATTTAAATCGTTAAAATAAGATTATCAGAAAATTGAGGAAGATTTTTTTTTAATTGTGCTAATAGCGAAAGCGTTTGAGATTGTGTTTTTATAGATTGGTCTAAAGTATTTTTTTTAGTTTTTGATAGAATTCCTTTATCGTTTTTTCTTCTTCAAATGATACGATAAGAACTGGTTTGACAGGTTACACTAGAGATTAAACATTTAGTTTTTAAGATTATGATTCAACGCATTAAAAACTCAGCACCCAAAGTTTGAAGTTATCGGAGAGGCATTTTATTTTAAACATTTAGGAGAGAAAGCATTCAAAAACTTCTACGAATTCTCAAAGCTACAATCCTCACATTTCTGGCCTAGATTTTTTTACAAGGTGTAGAGTCCAATTATTTCAGGCGGAAAAATTGCGATTCAAAAATTTAAAAATCCCCCAAAAGTTGTGTTTGCACCATTTCACAGCAATTTAATTAGGCAAAAAGTTTAATTAGAGAATCCGAGAAGAAAAGAAAATGGCGACGATGAGGAAGGAAAATGCGCCAATGATTTCTCCACAAACACGTGCCCGACCAAACCAAACCAGCAATCATAATCGAATTAAAATTTTACAACTTCAAAGTCATTCCATCCTCACATTTTTCCTCAAATTAACTAATTTGAAAAAACGCCTGGAAAACCGATTATTTTTTGTTGCCAGCATTTTTCATTTTTTAAGGATGATATTGATGCCCTGTCAGGAATTTGTAGAAAATATTTATTTAGTTTGCGGCAGGCAAGATGCTAACAAGTTATTAGATTGGTAAGATCAGGCCCTGGGCGCAGCCCATCTCCCCAATACATAATATTAAACTTAAATGAAAATCTGAGTCGGTTCCTTTATACATTTGTATTACAAGCCAAGGGAGGGGCCTGGCTATATCCAAACCCATCTCAAACCATTTGACATCTCGTCAGAAAATCATGCAACGGGGGAATATAATTAAATTCAGAATGTTTAATTAGATGAAAATGTATTGTAATTAATTCTCTCGGCTCGTGAATCGTTTAATTCATTAAATTCTTCGCCAGCTATGGGTTGGCTCTAGGGGGTTTGGGGGGGGGGGGGGTAGTTAGGGAGGGGAAAAAGAGAAATAGTTTTTTTTTCTCACACCGGAAATACAAACTTCAATTCAACAATACAATATCAATACACAACGATATCAAACTTTTTGCTCTTTGATACATCTCAAAACTCAATATCCCCCCTTTGATAGGGACCCCCCCCCCCTCTTCTTCATTCTTTTGTCAATGTTATTTTAAAATAGTACACATCATAAAACCCGAATATTTGCTCAGCTAATTTAATCCAATTTCATAAATAAGCCTTTTAAGCCAGAAATTGCAAAGATGAAAGGCCTTGCTTAAGCTCTATAAAAACAGTCGGATTATCACACCTCATTCAAATTTAGCATGTTTGCGAAAAATTTTAAAAAACAGGCCTCGATGACAGAACCGTTACAAATGTCTTAAAAATTTAGAAAACGATGCAAGACATCAAATATTTCTTAAAATTGTTCAATTTGCAAAAAATTTTTAATAAAAAATAAAAATGAACTTTTTTCAAGGCTGTGTTGAGGGTCAGCTAAAATGTCGTATGAAGGGCCCTGAAAATACCCCACAAGAGTTCGAAGGATAACACACTAAATCAAGCTAGAGTAAACACTGTGGCTCTCTAGATATAAACACACAAGCAGGGAACATGGAAACACAAAATTATTCATGAAAATTTACTTTTTTTAACAAAATCATATTCTTGAAAATAAGTTTAGTGCTAAACCAAAAAATAGCCATTTTTTCTTTGTTTGGATTTCTTTGTTAAACATGGAGAAAGGCAACCAAGCCCTGGTTTTAATTTTGCATGTAGATAATTACGTCCTGGTTTGGAGTCTCCTAATCACCTTAATTTGTTCAATAATTGGAACACAAGGAACCGAACAGGACAATTAAAGAGCAACTTTGCGAACTTGATAAATTAAAAAGTTCATTGTTATACAANGGGGGGGGGGGAGTTAAAAGTCTCTATAGAAAGAAACATAGAATTGAAAGGTATTATCTATCCCTGCAAATTTATTATTTATTTTATCAGTTTTAGCTTGAGGCTTAGCGAGACTTAAACCTGCGTTGGATCTGCTATATACTCTATACTTAGATCAGATAAGGTTTAAACTATCATAGTGTGCTTAGTATACCATAAACTGTATAAGGACATAGTAAATAATTGTTTTAATTACTCTGATACACGGTAGATAGTTGTTACAGAAATTCATAACTTTAGTGATAAATGTACTTTGATAAACAGTTAATTTGTCAAAATTTGCTATTCAATGTACTAAAATATAATAATGTAAAATGTACTGAATTAATACTGTATCCGAAATGTAGTTTAGATTACAAGGATTCGGTTTAGTATTTATATAATCCGGAGGATAAAAGTTAGCAGAGCAGTATAAATCTTCAAAATGCCATCTCAATATTTCTAAAAGTTAGCAAACCAACTTTGAACAACTCTTAAATGCCATAAAATTTTGAATATTAAATGTTCCCGTGTATAGAGCGACCGTTATGGAAAATTGTATATCTTTGTTAATATTTAAAGACACTTACATTTGCCCTAGATAGCATGTAAGAAGATGCATTAAATAACAAATTCTAAAACATGAACACAACTTTTTCCTAAACTAAATAATTTAGTAATGGAAGCCACTTTGTAAAATTGTTCATAAGGTGTACTCTACTAGACTGTACAATTGTACATGTGGAGTAAGGAAAACTGTACATGAAGGGTGTGAAGATGAACAGTTGTACAAGGGAAGTGTACAGCTGTACATGAAGGATATAAGGGCTGGGACTGAATTGATTATGTTGCGATGAAGTGTTAATCTGAACGCACCATATTTCGACCATTATCTCAACCCGGTGTTCTAACCCGGGCATATTAACTTTCAACTAAAAATAAATATATTCCCCACCCCTGCCCCCTTTCTCAATGCTTTCTTCCTTTTCCTAACATCCCCCCTCTTTCCTACCATTATTTGTTTGGAAAAATATCTTTTATCCGACTAAATCCTAGGTTTTCCCGTTTTTGAATCCATTAGCGCAAATTGAATTTTTTGCCGCGTTCCCTTCTTATTGAAATTCCCCGCCATGTTAAGTTTTATCTTAGACAAACATACCATTTTCAAATCCCCCTGCAATCCCCCCCCCCTTTCCCCTTCCCAACCTGAAATTAGATTTAGAACGTGTAAAAATATTACATTCCTGTTTTTAAATGTAATTTTCTCCAGGAGGGTGTGAGAGAGGGGGAAATTCTTGCTCATTTAGCCCCGTTATTCCCTGTGTTTAAAGTAAAGAACAGTTTGAAAATGTAGCAATAAACCCTGTTATTGCTGTGTATGATGGCCAATTATGTGTATCTAGAGAGATCTTACATAAAACCTTTACAAGGACTTGAAATAGTTTCAACAATTGAAATAAATTTCCACAAGTTTAAGGACAAGAAAATATGATTTTTCAACATGAGGCCCTTCCACCTGACATTTCGGATATAGACCGGTTGCAAACATAATAAAATAATGAGGGGGAAGTTGCAACTTTTACTCACCATATCCGGCGTACTAGCTCCGTCTGTGTGTGAGGTGGAATCTGCAGTTGAGCGGTTTGCATTATTGTTGCTATCTCCCAAGTCACCCTTGCCACCCTCTCTCTCGTCGATGACGAGGTCGATGGGCATCTTCCCCTTGAGACAGGAGATATACCGGTGACAGAAGTTGTCACAAAGCTCGTGAACCTAAAAATAAATTTGTCAGTAAAAATCAATTCAGATCTTAAAAGTCTGTCAAAGTCTGTCGAAGTCGTTTGAAGACGTTCAAGTCTCTGAAAGCCTGTTTAATTTTTTAGAAGTCGTTTGAAGTCTCATGGAGTTTTTTTAAGTCTTTCGAAATCCTTTAAAGTCATGTAAAGTCTTAAGAAGTCATTAAAAGTATTGATTATATTCTTGATTATTTTCTTGAACTCTCAAAGACATTCAAGCTGTGTCAATCGTTTCAAGTCATTTGCCTGTTCGGTTGCTGAGTAAAATTAGTAAACTCAAGAGTTTTTACATTTCAGGTATTTTGAAATAGTTTACAAGTTAAATTGGACATGATAATGTGTTGTTGACAAGCATACAACAGACTGTGGTAATTCAGACAATTTAAAATAATTGCCTCGCATTGCTTGGATAAAAGTCCTACTGCCTGAATTGTTGGGCAAATACAAGCAATCAATGGCGTATTGAATAAATGTCGGGGAATAAACAATTCACTTTGTTAAATGTGTATTTACAACTTTTATATACATTTTAGGGGGAAACTAGACTTTTTTACGTATTTATAAATGAATACATGGATAATTTACAGATAGATGAATAGATGGATAAATAGGTAGATGAGAGGTAGATAAGATTGTATGGATATGAGAATAGATATATTTGTTTATGAAGGGATGGGGGGGGGGGGTATTCAGTACCTTAACAAAACACCCAAGATTCAACAGTATTATATAATATAGATGAGATGGATAGATAGATAGATGGATGGATGGGTTCTGAAGAGGGTTTAAGTTTGGTTGGTTGATTTCTGATCAACAACCGGTTTTTACCCCTCCATCATTGTTTACAAACAAAATATAAAAATCCAATGGATGGATGAATGAATTGGATGGATGTTTAAATGTTTAAATGTTAAAAGTTTGTAAATATCGAAATCGGTTGTTAATTTTAATACAAACCCAAACAAAGAAACGAAGGGGAGAGAAACTAGATTGAGGGGGGGGGGGCTCCGGGGGTGAGAAAGTTTAGGTTAAGCTTAGAAGTTTAGAATTTACCGATTGAGAATATAAATAATTTTCATTTTGAATTTTTCTCAAATACTTGTTCAAATCTTAAAATCGCCATGAAATTGAACTGATTTCAAATTCAAAAGATAAAGTAGTAATATCAAAAAGTGGAGAAAGATTCCTGAGGGAACAGTTTTCACCCCTGACAATGCTTGATCAAGCAATCAAAGCCTGGAATCACGATGACTGCCTGGAATTGGGTGAAAGATGTCCCAGTACTTCAGACAAAGCAACAACCAGGCCAATACTGCAAATCCTAGACACGCAGGCCTTCAAGCCGAGTCATGCAGGCATCACCATGATGAATCAATAGATGATTTTATAAAAACTTAAAATAAAGAATGTACTTTTGTAAAAATGTAATTGAGTCCAGATGTACTATTGTAAGAGTGTACTTGAGTTCTATTGTACAATTGTCAAATGTACTCGAATACTTATGCACTATTGTAAAACTGTACTTGAGTACAAATGTACTATTGTAAGAATGTACTTGTGTACTAATGTACCGGTATCGAATGTACTTCTGAAGTACCCATCTATCATGTTCCATATTATTCTTCTATCCCCAGTATTATTTCTGCTGAGAAAGAAAAACAAGATTTCTATAAATTAACCCTAAATTTGGCCGGACCTACTGAAACAGTTTTAACAAAACAAATATCGGAAAACAGACAGACAACCAGACAGACGGACAAAAAGATAGACAGACGAAATGTTACAAATAGATAAATAGACAGATGTAAATAAACAGCTGGGAAAAAAAATGCAGACAGAAAGATAGACAGAAATATGTTTATGTATATGTATATCTATATATACATATTTATATAGAGCTAAGTTTGACTGTAAACCTGAACTAGAATTACAGGATATGCGCTAAACCTAGTTGAACTTGATAAGCTTACCTTTAATTAAATATCTAAAGAAATCAGATATAAAAATATAATAACTATATAATAAATATATAATAAATATATATAAATATATAGTAAATATGCAAATTACAATAGAAATTTGTAGTTGTCAGACTCAAAAAGAAAAAAATATAAATAAATAGATATTTATAAAAAAAGATAGATAGATAGATAGACAGATGGATAGATAGATATATAGATAGAAAGATAGATAGCCAAACTGAGAAAGAATTTCAAAGTAGATATGAAATCATCCTATTAAGAGAACCCAGGACTGGACAGCAGTTGAGGGCTAAATATATTTAAAATTTACAAAAAAAAATGAAGAATTATAAAAATAAAACTTTTCCCCTCACTTTTTTTAAGATTTCTGTCTCACATTAAAGATGTAGAGAGAAGCAATTTATATAATTTTGACCATTTCAATTCTGGCCTCGTTTCTTGTAGACCTAAGCATTCATTTTTCCAATTTTGACCAATTTGTAGAAGTTGCTTTCCCAAATAAATCCTCGAAAATCAAATTAGAAAATCCCCAGAAAAATTCATTCAATTCTCCTCCTCTTTCTCCTCCCAACTGAATATATTTATTTACATGCAAATATACACAATGTAAATTCTTTTGTTTATTTACATTTAGATTCCTTTGCATTCTTTAAGTTAATGTAAATTGTTTTAAAATGAGTACTGTAGCCCCCCCCCCCCTTCATCTCAGTTTAATTTATTCTTAAAACACAACCTAGAGTATTTCTAGTTACTTGACTCAGACAAGTATTCTGAATTCTAATATCAAGATAATGTGCTTCTCTTTAAATAAACTACATTATAGAAACATGAAACATATTTTTGCCCCAAAATACAGTTTTAAAAATATAAATATGAATAAGCCGATGCATAGATAACATCCAGACGTCGGACAGACGCACATTTACATTTATCATAACATCGAGTTTTGACAAATTTAAACTTTGAACTTTTGATAGATTTTTTATCTGTTAATAATAATATTTAGATGATCTACAGCTTATAGATATATATACAGATTTAGAAATATATAGATAGACACAAAGATAGAGAGATATATTAGATAGATAAATCAAAAAATAAATAGATAAATAGACAGAAAGATAGATATAGATAGATCTAAAGATATTTCTATGAATGAATAGATGAATGAAAAAATAGATAAATAGACAAAAAGATAGATATTTCAATGAACGAATAGATAAATAAAAAGATAAATAGATTAATAGACAGATAATTAGATATTTCTATGAACGAATAGATAAATAAAAGATAAATAGACAAAAAGATAGATATTTCTATGAATGAATAGATGAATGAAATAAATAAATAGATGATAAGGATATTTAAGTAAATCAGGCAAGATGCAGATTACTCTCTTAACTTCAACATCAACTTGAAACATTACACAAATTCAGACAGACGGCTGAATAGACAAATAAGACAAATAGAAAAATGGACAAATAGACGAATAGACAAGAAAGTAGATAGAAGGACAAATAGACAAGAAAATAGATAGATAGACAAAAAATAGATAGATAGACAGTAAGTAAACTGTTACCGGACAAGTTTCATAATATCAAAGTAACCCTAGGATAAACTTAAGACTACATCAAAACCAGAATCTNGGGATCTTAAATTAGAGGGAATCTCATGGGAAAATTTGATAAAATTGTTTCTTTCTATTTTCGATATTTTATACATTGATAATCTTTGATCAAACATATGTCTGTTTGTTTGTCTATATTTCTGTCTGTCAGAGTCAGCTGTTTTTTAAATATAATTTTGGAAAGGCTAACTGTGAAATCAAATACTTGCTAAGGGGGAGAAATACAAACAAAACTGTAACAGCTGCAGATTCCAAATCTTGAATGAATTGACGCAATTAATGTACTTTTTAAAATAAGTGTTTGATGCTAAATAGATGTCCAAGCTCTACAAATGAATATGCATAGATATCTGATTCAAAGAAAGGATAAATGAATACCAACGTGTAATCACGTAACTCTAAACCTGTTAAGAAAATTTAACAGGGACACTTTCTTCCAAATTTTTTTTGGATAAAATTCAGATCCAATATTGGAGATTGGATTTTTCCGGATATCTAAACTTGTTGCTCCCCCCCCCCCCTGCTCAAAATATGCAATTTAATCAAGATATGGAACTACAAACGTCCAACTATACAAATCTTGATTGGCAGAAATTTGCACTTTACATTTGCAAATTCAGAACTCAATTAAAAATCAATGTAAAGATTTGCACGTCTCCTCGGCACATTTTTGCACAGATATATCGAATATTTTTGCGACACTTATCTAAAAAAACGGGAAGGGTGCAGGGGGGGCGGTAATTTAAATTAAGATTTTTTTGCTTACCTTTTCTAACTCAAGGAGGTGGAAGCGAAGAACTTGAATAGCCTGTACCATCTGAAAATAAAATTATTATTATTATCATTGTTTCTATCTATTTATCTGTCTATATACTGTTTCTCTATCTGTTTGTATTAGTGTACTGCCAGCATGTTTTGCTTCCGAATGATTAGATATGTTTAGAGCAGCGGGGGAACGGGATCTTTCTGCGTTATTAGATAATTACATTTACACCAATTACCGGGAAAACAACATCCATGCGAGGGATAAACAAAATCCGCCATTTTCTTTGCACAACGAAAATCCGCTAAATTAATAAGAACAAATCCGGAATGATCTTACATCATACAGATAGTTGTACAAATATACAACGAACGTACAGATTTAGGAAGTTTAAACCAAAAAAATATTGAAATTTAAGACTACTATGTTTGTTTTAAAAATTGTAGTCCCTAAAGGTTAGGTTTCATCCCCTGATATTTTCTTAGGCAACAAGTGAAATAACAAAACTAAGAATTATAAAAACAAAGTAGCGCTACCCCAGACCGCGAAACGACCTAAATTAATTTTACAGATGGACCCTTTCCCTTCACAGCCTCTTCATTTTACAAAATATTAAGGAGCTGCATTTTTGGGCCGGATTAACATATTTTTTAGAAGATTTTATTAACAAGATTATATAGTTAAAAAGTTTAGTGTCAAAATATTGAGTCTCATTTTGTGGTTTCAGACACATGTGTTCTGGTCTCAAATTTCACCCCCTCGGGACCCCCTCACCCGATACTACCCCCCCCCCCTCTCCTCTATCCAGCCCCTAGAGATCAGGACCCTTCTAAAAATAATGAGCATCAAATACTATCAGCGTTGCAATTTGAGAAAAAACGGGAAATGGTGATAAAGCATCCTTTGACGGTACACAAATCAAAATCAAAATGGCCGAATGAAAAAATGTGGCAAACTGAAAAATCAAAATGGCGGCGGTCTCTACATGTGATTGAGTGATATATTGGGCTGTAAATGGTAGATTGAGCAAAGATCGTCGCGTCAAACTGTGTACAGGGAGTCACGAAGAACCGGGTGATACAAAAAACGTCAGTTTTCCGTGAAAAATCTAGCAATTTTTATAAAACAAAATTACAATAAAAAGGTTTAAAGCGTGGCAATCACATACAAAGTAAACTTCATATCAATTGTTAAATAGCCAACTTATGGGTCACCCGTTTGCACGTTTCCAATCCCACTTAAGTATTCTATATGGGTATCTAACCCCCAAACCCTATATGGGGAACACTCCCCCCATAGTTGTCAGATTGACAAATCAATGAAGAGTTATAACCACAACTCACTAAACCATAGCGTATAAGGAACGCAAGATTGCGTACATCTCCATCTGATGATTGAGTATAAAGAATGATCATGACGGGCTAATGGTCCCCCTCCTCCCCCCTGGAGGGCGGGAAAGCCCCATGAAAAACCACAGTGTCAGGGTCAGCCTGGTCATAATTCAAACCTGTCATATTTATCATCCACTGTTTACACAAGGATTGGAAAGAGCCGGAGATGACAGCCAATCGGAGATTTAGAAACGATTTGTCAATCCGGCTTCCCTCATTATCCTTACACCACTACGGGGTAAATGTGCAACCGAAGGTGCAAAATCCGCAAAAAAAATCATTTGAAAATCCGGGAAATATATGATTTGTAAGAAACCCGCAAAATATTTAAAAACGAATAAATCTACGAACTTAGTGACTAATGATCATTTACTTTGGGTTTGATAGTTTCCGCAGCTTGGAGATCAATTCATCAGATTTCAGGCTGTCAGGTTAAACATGATTTTCATAACTAGGTAAATCCATTAGGCCAGCAATATCACATGCAATTTTACTCCTTAGGGGGGTGTTAATCCATTCATTAAACTTCCATTAACCCCCCCCCCATACACACCTAGTAACTTAATCATGGTATTTACTATTATTGTCTGGTTATAGGATTTAAACATATAATTCTACTTGGTCAAATAAAAATATTTCTTTTAGGAATTAATGACTAATCATATTTCTTGAAGAATAAAAGCTTGGCACGATATATTTTACTTTATCTTTATATGCCATGACAGAGAACAATATTGGAGACCTTATTAAACATCATTTCACTTTATATATTATAACCCCCCCCCCCCTCTAGGTTGACATGCATGCTTAGTTGTCATATATCTTCCATCAATTCTGAACTTCTGGGTTTACAAATCCACGTTTTTGTCCTAGTTTCCTAAACATTAGTGAGACGTGGATAAAAAGTTAGGTTTGCGGTTCTTAAGCTAAAACATATTCATTTATCAACTTATGGTTGATATAAGCCTACCTTGTAAAATTCATGTCCCTTGTCTGTCATCTGTAATATATTTATGAAAGTCTGTCTCATTGCTGTCATGTGTTCAGTAACGTTGAAATGTGAGTTATTCTTGCCCCCCTCTCCTCCCCTCCCTAGGGGCCCCGCCCCCCTCCGTCAAGTTTGGTGTTAATCTCAGCCAGCTGCAATCCCCCTCCTTATACTTCACAAGGAAGTCTATAAATATTTTCAAATAAAAACAAATCAAATTAATTGAATAAAAATATTTACTGCTTGAATAAATGGTGACATGCCTGAATCAGCATACTTGGCTGTCGAGTTCAATTATAAAAGCAAGCTCGCCGCCGGGGAATATATTCCCTGAAAAATCCGCGAGAAAAATTCTCGAAAATATAAAAATGAAAAATATTGCGCATTTTTTACGACTTATCAATTTAGTCTCGCAGAGAGTTATCCCAGTCGTAATTTGCTTATGCAACAAAATTTTATATTTGAAATCAAAAGAGTTGAATTAGGCGCGGATAAACTTGAAGAAAAAGAGTTCAAAGATAAATAGATAGAGAGAGAGATGAATAGAAAGATATATAAAGTAGGGCTTCAGCGAGGCAACTTTTATGTCAGCATACACTTTTGACGCCCATAACCAGATAAGCAGGCAGATAAGCATGTGAAACCTCTCATACAGTCTCTAAAAGGGTACAAGGCGAGGGGGGGGGGGGGGATAAAAACCCATTCTGCTCCTCAGCATCCTTTACGATGCATTTACATGATAATTTTGCGAGAAGTAACATTTTGCTTCTTTAACATTTTCCCGACTTATCTATTTCCACATTAAGTTGTCGAACCCGCCTACCAAACTACTTTAACATTTGTATTTGACGCTATTTCAAAGATAAGCAGACCAAAAATGGTAAGGTAGGATCAAAATGGTCCCCCCCCCCCCTACTCCCCTTCAGCTAAAAGGAACTTTTATATTATTCTTTCTTCGAGTTCCCGAGTTAGATGTTTTTAATTATGAATTTATATCAAATTTGGGCGAATCTTTTGCATTCAAATGTGTCTAAAATCGGTATAAACGAGCACTTTGAACGCATTGTGCACTCATAAAATGCTTTTACGAGATAGTTGAACTTCAAAAAACTGTAAAACCCTAAAAACTAAAGATTTCTCTTTACTGGCCAAATGTTTAAACCTTGAATTGATCTACGTCTCTCCTACTATTTGATTTGATAAAACTAAGAGGATAGATAGATTTCCTTACAGCCTGAAATAGGCTTGAAACATGATACATGTAGGCTAGATAAGCTACTAGAACTAAAGCATAAAATTTACCCAAAATTCAGCAAATTAATTATTCAAAGTTCATGCAGTTTTTAAGTTTACATTTTAAGTTTAGTTAGGTAAAAGCGTACTTTGCCTTGAGGGAACTCAAACATTTAAGTTTTAAAGAAAAATGTAAAAATTTTGCTTGAGGGAATATGGTAGGGTATGAGTATGCAGTTGCATAGGGGTTGCCAGAGTACAAAAAACCGATCAGCCCTTAGATAACCATACTACCCCTTCACACTATACACTCTTAAGAAATGGTTAAACCCATTTTCCAACTCTGGATAAATAATGAAAAGAGGGTTGATTAATATTTTGAACTCTGTTCAGGAATGTGGCTTAGATCCTACATACAAAGAATATTCTGGCATGGCCTGACGGATGGGGAGAGGGGAGATAGATAGATAGATATGAGGAGTAGATATCTAGATAGCTTGATAGCCAGATATGAAGATAGGATCATATTGTACGACTCCACGTAAATGGGGTGCATCGTAGCTCTAGAATCTAGATGTAAACAAATGAGCCGAAACCTTTCGTACAAAGGACAAAATCCTCGAAAATATCCGCCATTTTCCTACAAATATTTTCCCGCGGTTTTTCTGGTTTGGTTTGGACAAAAATTTGCACAAAACCGCCATTACTCGGCGTAACTAGCTGTTTCTGATAGCTAGCGGCCCGGGGGGTCATCAAATATACCAAATAAATTTTCATTAAGATTTTATTACTTGGAAAATTTGAAATTGATAGCAAGAAGGGAAAAGTGAAGTCCCGGGGATTTTCAAAAGAAGAGGAGAAGGGAATTTTCGTAAAATCGGAATGTCGGCAGACAACGGCTAATTTCCAAAACTTATCAGACATGTATTCAAAAGTTCTGATTTTCTTTTCCGCTTCTGTATTTTTTATGGTTGTACGTATGCACAAAAATATCAATATCTGAATATTTGATTTATGTTTAAGGAAAATATTTAAATTTTATTTGAAAATGCTTCACAATGGCGCTAAGAAATTCCCCCCTCCATCTTTTGTGTTTCATATTCTAATATTCATAACAAATGTTCAAAATATATCCTCTCAGGCTCAAATTTCAATATTTAAAAGAAAATAATGCCCACACCCCCTCCCCCCCGGTATCAATATTCAATGCAATTTTTAATCTTATATCAGTGTGTGTACAATGATATTGATATATCAATATATGTATATCCGATGCAGTCTGAATATTATTATGATAATAAAAACAGATATACAAACAGTATGAGGGCGGGGGATAATTTTTTATTAAACAAAACAAAAAAATCCTTGTTTTAAAGTAAATAAAAACAGTTGTAAATCATAAATAATTTAATGTAGTAATTGCCATTCCAATTAAGATGTCAAATCAATTATCGTAAAAAAATATAAATAAATATAAAAAATCTTACCAAACTGTCAACTTCAGGATCTGCCATATAATAAGGTTTTTCTGCACGTATCTAAAAAATTAATAAATTACAAAAAGATCAAAGTTTTTTATTTAATTTTATGGCATGTGCCTTTTAATACATGTTGCATATTAAGTACTTGTTGTATGTGTGTAAACCATTAATTTCCTGTCACAGTTAATTACTTGTAGGTAGAACCATTTATCCTGCCTTTACAACCATATATATAAAAACAATATCATTTTATAATTTATTTATTCTACACCCTGTAGTACATGAAGCATGTTAATGTTATCACCCTGTATGGTGTAGTATCTATCTGTCTAAATGAATCACCTTGTATCTATCTTTCTAGTAGTAAATCACCCTGTACATAACTATCTATCTACAACTTGTCTATATCGTTAATAAACTAATTAAGTCTTCCGGTCCTACCAACATCATTTAATATGATAAATTATCTGTTTTGATCAAATTTAACGCGACTTTTCGCCGATTAGTCGAGAAATCGTCGATTAAGACATTAATATATCCTTTACAACCCTAACTGTGGCGCTAAAAACAATGAATAAGCCAAACCAAACCCTGGGATTCAATTTAACCAAACCAAACCAATTCTCAGTTAAATGTAATTCAGGCCAGGAACGGTACAATATTATTCGCTAAGCGCAGGGAGTCCACACTACATTTCACACAGTTTTTGTAACTATTACCATTAAAAACGGGACCAACATATACACTTAAAATTTATTCTAGAACTGGTTGCCCATTGTACAATATTATTTATGACTTTTTGACAACGAGGTTTTAACTTTTATATAAAAAGTTCATTTTTTTATTTTGAGGGACAAAGGTATGAGCTCGGTTTAATTTATGATGACTGCGGCGAATGATAATATGCCATAAATCAGTCCAGAACTAGTAAATAATTTACAAGTTTATTTGTCAATGCATTTTTTCTGTCTATCTGTCTATCTGTCTATCCGTCTATCCGTCCATCTATCTGTCTATCTGTCTATCTGTCTATCCGTCTATCCGTCTATCCGTCTATCCGTCCATCTATCTGTCTTTCCATTCATCTGTCCATCTATCTATCTATATAACTGTTTCTTTGTTTAAATTTGTTTAACTGATGTTGAACTGTTTAATTCTAGATTTAATTTCTTTTCTCCATGAAATAAAAACTAAAGACTATAATTTTCCATTTTGTCGTAGAACCGGAATGAAGTGTAAAACAGTGCTTAAAGGGTAAATTAGAAATACCCGGTTTTACTTCAATACTAATTGTTAAAGGACCGGTAATTGCCTCTCCAATTCTTAAAGGGTTTTATCCTTCTGAAAAAGACATTAAAATTACAGTTGGTTTTTACTCCCTCCAGCCACAGACATGGTGGTTTGGAGTTTAGTGGGCGGGAGGGGGCGTTCCTCGTTGGTTTCATTTCATTGATTTCTTCACCATGATAAATAAACGNCCACCCTCATATACTATATGTACGCTGTATAGGAGTTTATGAATATCTTAAAGTTTGATTGACGGCTTCATAGATTTGAAAACCTAAGATTTCCATTTTAAGGTGAGACCCGTCTTTGACAAGCGTTACACGACATATACCCATTTTAGGGACTCAGCGATTCGCGTTATTTCAACGTTTTTTACACGGCTACGGGGGGGGGGAGGCAGAGCTTAAATTTTAAACATCCTGGCTTATTACATAAAGGCCTTTTTGGCTCTAACGAATTTTCATTAAAATTCATATTTCGTCCCAAGTCTTAAATTAAATTCAATTTAATTCAGGAATGTCCGGATAAAAACCAAAAAATCTCAAGACAACAGAAAAACTTTTTATAGCATTTTATATTTTACAAACAGATCGAAGGGAAGGAGGGGGGGGGGAGGCGACATAAAAACAATAATTTGAAATTTTATTTAAATTTGACAAAATTAATGATAATTAAAACGTAGTTTCCCGGGCAACCAATCAATTAATTCATTTAATTATCCTTAATTACAGACAATACCGGTTATACCGAGATAAAAGGATAGATAGATAGATAGATAGATAGATAGATAGATAGATAGATAGATAGATAGATAGATAGATAGATAGAATAACAAGTTTAAGATCCCTTGTCATGAAAATGGAAACTAGTTGTAAGACTGAATATCTAAATTCTACATGTAATTAAATTTTGATTTTAGTTAGGGTTTAATACCTTTACACATAAACAAATACCCGAAGTTAAAACTAGAAACTGTGAAAAAATGTGTCTAAATCTTGTAGAATAAAGACATGTTTATACCACATCAAGACAGATTGAGACAGATATGTGACAGACAAACGCCTATCACCACAGACAGTATAGGTATTGTTCTATGAGGGGGGGGGGGAGGTTGATTTGGCGGATTTTCGAACTAGGAGGGTAAAAATAAGAAGGTATGGGTCGGGTAGCAGTTTTCTCATGAGAAAATATATTCTCAAATTTCTAAATCTAAAATGGCCATTTTCTGAAAAGAGGTATTAGCCTATTCACCCTGAGCCTGCTTAACTCAAACCCTCCCCCCTTCCACCTACTTCCCCTCAATTTTTCCTCAATCCTCCTTAAAAAATAAATAATAAAACATTGTAAAAAATCTTGGTTTTATATGGAGTAAATAAAATAAATCCCCATTTAAAGTCTTAAAAGAAAATATCCCCCCCTGAATTTAACAACACAATGTATAGAAAAGCGCATCGGAGGGACTTAGGACCAAAAATCCTGGTTTTTCCGATAATATATCTAGATTAGTTGGCTAGGGGGAGTCAAAAATAAGAATGGATAAATTTATTGGATGAATAAGCTTTAACAAACCTACTAATATTTATTTTAATGTTAGAAAAAATATATTTAAGTCTGTTTTCCTATATCATCCAATAAAACTTTGGATCTCGTATTTATTTTGGGAATATATATGGGAGGGGGGGGGCTTGATAAAAATCAATAAAATTCTGATTTATATATAATGAAGATTATTGATCAGCGTTTGTTGTTCAAATTAAGAAATTGTAACGAGTATAATATCAATTTTGTTTGGCGGGATACATGGGGTATGTTTTAGCACCAAAACCGGAGGGAAAACACAGGGGAATTCTCTGTTTTCAATTGTTTTTCAAATAATAATTTTTATGACCGTCCTTTATACATTGATGGGAAGTTTATGGATTGCAGGTGGTTTTTTCTCAGGGCTAGGCAGTGTGCAAAAATAAACATTAAAGAGATAATTATTGAATAAACAGTACTCTTTGTATACACAAGTAATGATTAGTTTTCTCAGAAAAAAAATGGCGACGATGAACAAGTTTATTTGAGAAATAAAACTGGACAAATTTGAGCTTTTTTGAGGATAAATATTAAATATTGAGGGCGCGAGGGGGCCTTGTGTTGAAAAATGAAGTCAAAATTGAAATATTATCAGTTGCAAAAAAATTGTCTGTGTGTACACGATATTATTGATTGATTTGTGTTCATCAAGATAGATAGTTAGTTAGTTAGATAGATAGATAGATAGATAGATAGATAGATAGATAGATATACAGATAGATAGATAGATAGATAGATAGTTAGTTAGATAGATAGATAGATAAATAGATCGCCATGTACTTACGCTTGCTTATTTAGGCCGTTAAGTCTAAAGTTTAAAAACATGTTTTTACAAGTTTTTTTCTAACAAAATAACCTCAACATTAAATATTAATTATTTAATTTTATCATTTTCACCAATTCATTGTTTCTTACATGTTAGCAAGACAAAAACGTTTTTTTATCATTTGTAATGATAAGTTTTATTGTTCATATTTTGAGTGTTTGATTTGAATATTTACACTGTTGTAATCTACTGCTTACTTAATGTTTGAAAAAGTAAACAATTTACAGGGTCAATCAAAATCTGAAATAATTCAGGGTTTTTTGCGTTTGGCCGTTTTTTAAAAAATGGGTGGCATATAAAAAGTTTCAATAACAGAAAAAGGTAAGATTTTTATGTATCTTCTAAAAAAAATTTAAATTTTTTTAATCTTAAATTTTTACTACAGACACCCTTGACTGATAATATACAAACATTGTAAACTACTGATAATATACTCTCCACAGTGAACAATACAAATATTATATCCCCCCCCCCCCCGGTCTTGACAAACATAGATTACAATGAAAAAAGTAAAGAAAATCAGCTGAGCCCTCTATCATCTATCATATTTGATCAAAATGTAATTAGAAAATATTGTTTTTATAAATCCTGCGGAGTTGCAAAGCTGTATAATTAATCCTTAATTATGTCATTAAATTCTGATTTTATATAAAAATAAAATTATATGCTGAAAAACTTGATTGAAAGTAAGACCACTGACAGATGGTCGAAAAAGCACCCCCCCCC